TACGGTGGAGTCCAACGCGAATGGTTCTTCCTACTTTCCCGGGAAATGTTCAATCCTTACTACGGTCTGTTTGAGTATTCAGCCCAGTAAGTAATCTACTGAGTTCATCAAACCTTTTTTTGCTGAAAGCTTTATTTCCGGACAATTAAATCGTTAGATATGTGCTATTGTTGTATGACCTTATATATTCGTATAATTGCTACGCACACAGCGAGCTCATAGGATGCTATTTTGCAAAACCAATGTTACCAGAAACTGGCATTGGCCATTGTAGAAGATAGTGTTGCCGAAACATATACCTTCTCGCGTTGAATTTTTAATAAGCGACAGCTTCCTCGCAGAATAGCGGAAAATGGAATACCGACATTAACCTCGGTCACGTATGTCTTGTTAAGCTTTCTTAGAGAAACCTCCGGAAATGATCTTATATTGGGAATAAGGCGAACTAAATTTTTCTCACATGTTTAAGGAATAGGCCGCAGTCCTATCACCATTCTTCGTGCTACTTCAACACTTTTGCTTTATACTCTTTTAGATCAACAATCTAGAATTTCAGTCGTATTCACTTGGGTTTTGCTCATTATTCATTCTTGTCGGTCCTGTTTTCTCTCTTTTCTCAGAGACAATTACACACTTCAGATCAATGCGTTATCTAGTATGGCCAATGAGGATCATCTGAAATACTTCAAGTTCATCGGTCGCGTCGTTGGCATGGCTGTTTATCATGGCAAGCTAATCGATGGTTTCTTTATTCGTCCATTCTACAAAATGATGTTGGATAAAACTATCACGTTAAAAGACATGGAAGCAGTGGATTCTTTCTACTATCGAAGTTTGAAATACATCCTCGAACAGGATCCATCTGAACTGGGTTTGACTTTCTCTGTAGACGAAGAACATTTTGGTGAAACTGTCCAAGTTGATCTCATTCCGAATGGGCGACATATTGCCGTGACTAACGCAAACAAGAGACAGTACATCGAGTAAGAGATTTTGCTGATGTGCTTATGTCTGCCTTTGATGAAATGATGTTTCACCAGCAGTCGTTTTCTTTTCTGCTGACGCGCATTGACCCCTCAGGATGTGCTCACACCTCGTTGTGCAAGGTTTTATTCTGATTTCACAGGGACCAATAGTCCCACCAAAGAAGCTTTTAATCTTAGTATTGCTATATCGTTCTCGTCGATTATATGCGCGTAGGTGTATTGTGAAGTGAGTGTAGTAGGCTATCAAAACCTCCCAGCGATGCATGGTATCGATCCGGTGGATGTGAACCAATATTGACGTCAAGTATAGAATCCAATACCTCATGACTCAGTATTGAATAGAGTTTGAATCACCGGACCACTGACCCTTATTCTCCGAACGTGTCGGAGCCACTAGATCCAACTCATTTAGTACATACTCATTTCGTGGTTCAAGTTGTCTGAAGCTGAATATACCTACCATGTTCGTTTTTCCAATAGGACTAGAACAGAGTAGATTGCTACGAAGCTATCACAGTGACACATTTGATAAATTAACGCTGTTTGATAAACATGTTCATGAGTATTGTCTGTTGGAGATGCATAATTGGAACGGTATTTCAAGTGCCGAGGAGTATCAAAAAACGGACTTCGCTTCTATCAAATCGTTTTTAATCAAATATGGTCCACACAAGTAAGTACCCATTTTCTCCCAAGATGTGATAGCTTGCAATGCGAGTATTATATCGGTTGACGTTGCTCAAAACGTACACGGACTTGGTGGTACAATTTCTTTCACGTGAGAGACCGAATAAGCAATGCACAGTTGACATATTAGATCGAACGTATCGTTTCCATCACGGAACCGTTCAGTTCGATTGTGCGACCATTAACCATACACTTTTTGGTGACAGTTTTTGATTCTTGTCTCTTGGCTGCCCATCACGGAGCACACTGTCTGCAATTTTAACATGGAATCGTGAATACCTGCACGGTTTGTGACGGTTACTCTGATCTAGATAAGCACCACCTTCAAACTGTGTTATTGCTTAACCCAGTTTGGCTATTATTTCTAACGAAAGGCGTGACCGTTTATCCTTGTTACGTCGACAACCTTGCTTTTAGTTGATTATTTGTCGAACTTATTCAACTGTATTAAAACTGAAATGCTTTTATCACACACACGTCCAATGAACTCGATTCATCCAGAATTCATTAGTTATGTGTTCCAGTTATCATACTCATAACTCAACAAAACCAGAAATTCATTGTGTGGGGTATTTTCTGTTTCAGATATGGTCGCTTTATTTTACGTGTGGGATATATCTTGCTGTTATCATTATATAGTTTTGATTATCAACAACATACGGTGAATATGTAGATGATAGATAGATTGGGTGTTACTTTGTCCGTGATTCTTTCCTAAACTTTGGAGTTCATGGATATGTTGGAGCTGTTTTTTGCACGGTAAACGGGTTGTCATGGCTCATACCATTTTCATTTAGTTCAAATCTGACAGGTTTACTTCATGCTTGTCGATGTTCACGTCTTACTTTTCACTCCTCTTACTAGTGCTTTTGTAGTGTAAAATGAAATGAACTAAAATTTTGTTTCCTAATGCACCAAATGTCTGGTAATCATTACTTTGTTGTTTAGTTTCTGCATAATTCGGGAAATTCGTTGTTTTTTCCTGAAAATCCTAATACTCTTGTATGGTATCCGCTCTTTCTTTTTATTTTTATGGTTCACATTTTTCTGTGATTTTATTGAAATAATCGGTCTGATTCTATGTTGACCTTGGTGGTTAGCAGTTCAGTTCATCCCGTTGCATTAGATATCACGTGCCACGGCTAGACAGTCCCGAAATGGAATTTTCGTGCAACCGACGCGGCAAAGTTACTAAACTCCAAGCAAATAGTTGCATTTAGTGTGGTTTTCCGGAAACCTGGTCAAACTAATTCAATGGATCAATTTACACCCTGTTGGAAACGTACATGGCTTGTGTGCGGATTCGTGGATGCAATCACCGCAACCTATAGTTAACGCTAATTGACGAAGCGCTTGTTCCATTTAAATTCAGCTGTTACTGGAAGGACAGCTCTGCAAGTTATTTCCAGCTTGTTGGCGAATGTTTTACGATCGGACATCTTTGTCGGTGGAATTAGTTGGTATTCTCATCGAAATGTGTCTCATTGTATGAGCACTTCACAGAGCAAGTGCTTGACTTCCGTGAATTACTATGTCTGAAGCCCTTGTTACGCAAACCGCCGGATAGGCTTCCTCAGTGTGTTATGTTTCCCGAGACAGCTAGTTGGGGAAAAGAGTTTAAGGATGATCCGGATAAGATCTGGTATGCGGATGTGAATATCCTGACCAGGCTTTCGAAAACAGGTCATATCGAAAGGTGCGATAAATGAACTACGAGTTTCTGGTGTCTAATCGTACATCCACACGACATACAAGATCGTTAAGGGTTGTTCGAACGAAGGCAGTTACCGGGATATGAAACTACTGCAGTCGTTTAGCTGCAATAACATTAGTTTTTCAATCAATGGTTGAATGGGTTATGCTAGACAGCTGCCTTGATGTCTTAAAGCATCCCGGGACACAAAAACCGCAAACTGACGACTTAGTGCTATTGTGAAATTACGGTTTGAAGTCAATGCGTTCGTTCCACTATTGTTCAGCTGTTTATTCGTGAGAAGTTGTCAATGTTCTTGTTTTCCAACCATCAGTCTTACCCATCAACATTAGGCCATCGTAAATTTTCCAAGTTATCTCACAGTTTGTGCGCTATACATGCGAAAAGGAAAATATTGGAGTAATTAAGTAATAGTTCAGCGTTTACTTTGTATACGCGCTAATTGGTTGTTTCTCACATAACCATTTCACGCATTCAATTTTATTAGTAGCAATTCGTTTAGATGTGCTAAATGAGTTGTTTTGTGTCTGCCGAAACCATGTCGATGGTTTTAATCTCACCTTAAAATGCTTTTCTTACTCGCTATTCTTTCATGCGGTTCTAATTATTACTGTTTACATATCTCTTACCAGATGTATAATCAGCTGGCGATTTGTGTCGCGAATAAAAATGCAAATGTGGGCTTTCCTGGACGGATTCAAAGATCTGGTAGATTTGGAAGCATTGAAGATTTTTGATGCAAACGAGCTTGAACTGCTGATCTGTGGTCTTCAGGACATCAGTGTTTCCGATTGGAAAGCTCATACTCTGTACAAAGGCGAATATCACGCTAACCATCCGGTGATCGTTAATTTCTGGAAGGTATGCGTTGGTCCGCGTTGATTCTGATGGCGTTGCTCAACCTCATGTATCGTGTGATTTGAGTCATATTTCTCATGTCGGTTGTTCGTCTTTGCCATTCATTCTTTTTCTCCTTTTTACTGTTAATCTCAACTTGAACATACCACCTTGGTTTCAGTTTTTACAACCAATAGCCATGCACTGTGGTGCGCTGGTTTTGGTTGCCGCCTCATGACTGCCCATTTGGATAGGGGAGTAAAAATTGGAATGTTGAAATCTGTGTCAGAGTGATAATAGAGAATTTATGAAAACTAGAGTAGTACGGATAATGAGTAGATGCACTTGTGTATTTCTCACACATCTGAGGCCAGATTCTGAGCTAAACAAATCAATTTTCCCATAGTAACGTAAGAAAACACTGTACCAAGATGCCGTGGACGAACAGTTCTTGATGGGGTTGTTGGTACTTTGTAGGTCACCTTGAATGCGTCCTCTTTTACTTGATGACCCGTGTCTGCCATGTGTTCTACCATCGCTCTTGTAATCGTTTTCCTCATGCCCGTACTCAACTAGGCCGGCTCCGCTCCTTGGTTCTTTGAGACCATTGCCTTATAGTTATGCCTACATGACTTGCCAAATATAAGTAAAGAAAGTGGCAGATGACCATAGATAGGAAGAGAATAGACAATTCCTCGCTAGAGTTAAGGGAAGACATTCGTCGGTTTCTGAATTGCGTACGTAGCGCTGTAGCGCAAGCTTTACATTTCGGAAATGGAAATTATATCCCAGTTCCAATTCGGACGTTAACCCGATAACGGCGTAGAAACTATACAAAGCACGTAAAAATGGATTTATCCGCTTTTGATTTTCGATCACGATCACAAGACGGTGCTGAACTATTTCCACTTTGACCAAGAATTCAATGTCCATAATATCATATTTTATATCTTCACATCTAAGTCGAGAGTGTACCACAAACATCAATGTAAACTCATCTTTATGAAGAGGAAAGTGATCCGCCATTTACTCAAGGGCGCGATACTTCTAGATTGCCGAGGCTAAGCAGATGAAGTCTATTAGGTAATTCACAATCGGAGCCTTCGGCTAGCCAAAACCTGAACCACAAAGCGTCAGAGCGGTGTGTGCAAACCGCAATCCATTGGGGGACGGTTTCCAGTCCATCGGACGCGGTCAAACGTCCAAGGTGGCCAAAACGCCTAGATGCCTAATCTAGCCGATGACTACTAACACTACCAGGAAGGTGTGTGTGTGTGGTTCGTACGCCTTTTCACGATTGGTTTTGCAATCATGGTTTTTAGCCACCTCCCGTGGTGAACTGTGAATGGTTCACCGATCGGGATATTAGCTTTTCGTCCTCTCACTTTATTAGGGAGACACCTCCGCGACGAGAAGGCAGTGAGTAGGACTTCCTCAGCATAAGTTATTTGAGACGCTTGGTCGTTTGGGAGCATCTCTTGATTTACAACCGAGGGAGGACTAGCCACAACCCGAGACACCTAACTCCAACCATACTGAGGCTTTCACAGTAGATGTACGAGCGCCAATGTTTACGACAATGCCATATCACTCGGTGTCTCTAACCATTAATTGCGTTGATGCCCGTATCCCCATTCAGGAAGCCTAACGTGGTCTGTGTAAGCAAGTCTCATGTTCAGGGTTTCCATGCCCTCGAACTAGGTGTTGGTTTGACCGCCCGTGACCTTTTCCCATCCAGTTCCGCTCCAAGTCCTGACACGAGTTCGTAGATTTAATAGTTCGCTTTCGTTATACATTGTGTTCTTCTCTGGTGTGTAAACGGGAATGATTTGCTTAAAGTGTAACTTTTGACGTCAATTTTTCCTATGATGCGAATCATATCTTTAATCGCGATTACTTCTTCCGAACGTGCCTGAACGGAGAGCCAATGAGAGAAACCGGTGTAGTGGAGTTGGTGGTCACCAGCATATTGTTCCGTGTGTTCTGAGTTCAGACCCCACCACCCAACTTTCCCCTTTTCTTATTATCACACTTCGATTCATTGGTTGACTGTTTATCTCTTCCAGAAGAAAGCTTGCACACTAGGTATTGAATACAAAGTAAAACAACAGAGGGAGAAGATCGAAGTTGCACTCAACAACGTACAGTATTCGGTTCATCACTAAACTGGTGTGATTCTTTACCTCGGTTCTTTATATCTCCCACTTACTCGCCATTCTATTCTTGTGGTTTCATTCACTCTAATACTTCCTGTAGTTCCAAAAAGCACTTGATATCATGTACACACGCGTCTGCATTGTTCTGTCTATATATCCGTTCATATCAATTATGAGCTTAGTTATTGCTTTAGTCCCTTCCGTCTATAATTGACTTCATTTGCTTATGTCTCGACTCCTGCCACTTTGTTTTATTATATAAGTGACATCCCAGGTGCGATACACATGTCCTTAAACAAAACTGCGTACACTCCCATGTTGACCTTTGGCACGTCTACATCTAAACGACGTGGTTCTAAATCCCTTTATTAAATACCAAATAAGCATCACTTGGGTTATTTTCTATGGTTCCTTCGGCTTTGTTGTTGCCGGTGGTAGTTTGTCATTCACAAGTATCTTTTTTTCCTCAGGCTGTGTACACATTCACAAACGAACTGCGTAGCCGCTTGCTACAATTCGTCACGGGCACTTCCCGCGTCCCAATGAACGGGTTCGCAGAATTGTGGGGATCTAGTGGTCCTCAACAGTTTACCATCGAATGCTGGGGTACTACGGACCAGTTACCGCGAGCGCATACCTGGTGAGTGTTCACCTACGACTCACTAGTGTTGCATTTCGAATGTACCCGGTTGACTAGTCAGTTTATTTGTGTGATTGATTTATCTCAAGCTCAGACATGTTTTGACTACCTCCGTTTTACTCGGTAACACCACAGTCTAGCTTCCATCACCCTATACAGCTTGTCTCGAGGCATCGGTCGTACCAGAAAGTTTCTTTGGTGCAAAATACCAGTGGAGGTGGGATGCGAAATAAGATCAAGAATGCATTAGACTCAATTGAGGATTGCCCTACTCTGATGTTCAACACGAATGATGCGTCCGGAATCAAATTCCGGTTTCTTTTAGACCACAGACGTCTTTGTTCTTTATCAGCAGGGGTTACCACTGCGGATAGTTGTTGAATGCTAAGATTGGCCTGCATATTTGTGTATATTTGTGATTATGATGATGATGATGATACCCTTAGAGTTTAATTATTTTGATTTTGGGTTATTGTGGTTGACCAAATACTCCGGTGAACGTTTATTTTGAGAAGCATATCTAATAAATAATATACTCCGAATTATTTCATGTAACAAGTTCTACAGTTAGTGGACAGGATGAATATGCTACTGAATGATGCGTCCAGTGAGCTAAGTAAAGCCCTGGAGTCGGATTACTTCTACTCATTTTTAGCGGATGGTAATCGGGTGAAATTCATTAATTGTTGATTAGCGCACCTTGAGCCCTAAATTCCCACCGCTGCCACCTGCGTTTGAAGATTGATAGCGTCGTTGTCGTCCGTCTCAACGACACGCCTATCCTAGCGGTTCACTATTTATAAGCCCCAGGGATTAGTTTGACGGTTATCTCCAGTGAACAGTAAATCCTTGTAACTTTGCGGTGTTCTCCCTCTGGTTTGCATCTTAGCACTGCGCTTTAACGGGGTAGCTTCTAAGGTGCACATTCTAGGTGATGACTCCCACCACGATCAGGAATGTATATGCGTGGTTTCGTTCGTCTTTTCACGATTGTTTTTGCGATCACCGTTTTTTGTCACCTCCCGTGGTGAACTGTGAATGGTAAACCGATCGGGATATTAGCTTTTCGTCCTTTCACTTTGTTAAGGAAACACCGCGACGAGAAGGCAGTGATTAGGACTTTCTAATTGTAGTTGTTCCAGATGCTCATTCGTTTGGAAACATTTCTGGAGGTGCAAGGTTTACCAGCGGTAACTTGAGACACTGTACCCTGACGGTACTGAGACTTTAGGAGGCACATGACCCCTAAAATCCACCTTTCGTGAGCTGATGCTCTGTGTCTAAAACTGGTGGTCGAGATCTACTCTCCGAGAATTCTCTAGCGGCTGTTGGAGTTTGTACCCCATTCAGTTTTGAAATTTTCCCCTCTTGGCTACTATGTGGTAACATAAGTGGAAATTGTTTAGACCTTCCCTTGTTCGCTTTGATCGAAGTACCTTACCTCTCACTTTGTTCACGGCATTTTCCCCCCAGTTTTCGGATTGCAATATGCACAGTTTCTGTTTCGCACGTAGAGGTTAACGTATGTAAATTTATTCTCGAAAGGTTGGTCGATTCTTGCATCTATCATGCTTTAGACAGGACTTCAGTCTGCCATTTATCTCGCAAAAGAAATGACACCGCCTTACATGATAACCACCAACCTTTCACAGCGATGGACTCTTATAGACTACATCGCCATCAGCTAACGCTGGCGAAGATCCATTCAAGATAGCCGCTCTTACTGGTCAACACCCATGGACATGGAGCATGCTCTGATACGAGCCAGATTCTCCCGAAGTCTGGTAAAAATCCCACAGAAAGGCCACCGAAAACGGATGCCCACAATACACCATCAGCGATAATTGCGAATCGGCCAGGAAGTGGAATTTCTGATCGCTTTTCAGCTCAACCATAAACAAGAAGGGCTCAGTGAACTCTGGAAGGCCATCAAGGAGGCGATCTAAATGTCAACCAAAACAATAGCGGATTCGGGCGCACGATCAATGCAAAAGCGATGGATCTCCCCGACTTCAGTTGCCCTGCTGGACGCTCGCAAAGCCATTCTGTCTGATGCAAAATACGACACGGTCTAAGTCCTTTAAAAACCAGCTAATCAAGAATCTGAGAAATGACCGCGAGAAGTGGTTGGTAGGAAGGTGTGGGGAGTTGGAGAAGGCTGCGACTATCGGTATCAGTCGCAATCGTTTTCGAATAATTAGTAACGCCGTCTACTTCGACGGGCAAGGCATTTAAAGACACAGTCCAGCTGGCCCTCGTTGACTAAAGACCTCCCTATACCTGCTTCAAATAGGGAAATACTGTCAGTTGACATCGTTCCTCCATCTGAAATGGGGGTTACCCGGAAAGTAAATTATATGCCCGGATGAACTGTCCCCATCGTTTTTTTTAGGATGGAGGTCCAGCCTTGGTTTTTGAGTTAACGAAACTCCTGGGCTCTGTGTGGGAGAGGAAAGCGGTTCCAACCGAATGGTGTGAATCGGTGATCATACCGATATACAAGAAAGGCGACAGGTTCCCTTGTGAAAACCACAGAGGGATTAGTTCAATCAGCTGCTCACTGTTATTATAAACGATTGTCTGGTGCACACGTGAGAACCAGGCTGGTTTCAAACCTAGTCGAGGTTGTATCGACCTCTTCACTCTTCGTCAAACTCTGGAGCATCAACATTCTTTTCGTAGACCCACCATTTCTATCTTCCCCGATCTGAAAGTGGCTTTCGACCCGGTCGACCGCCTCAAACTTTGGCACCGCCTCTCTCTGAAAAGTATGCCCGGGAAAGTTCATTTCAGTTTTGCGATCTTTTTATGGTAACAGTTGGAGCTTGCGGCACATTCTTGCCCGCATTTTCTAACGAAACTGATGTTCGTCAGAGTTGCCCTCTCTCCGTTTCTATTTAACTTTGCCGTGGATTTAATTCCTGAAACAGCCTTATCCTCGTGCAAGGATAGTGTTCTCGGTTTGCTCCCGGATGGTAAACTTTCTGATCTGCAGTATGCAGATGACACTGTGCCAATAAATGAAGGTCGAGGTAAGCTGCCAGCTTTTCTGCTAGTTAGTGTTGATTTCATCATGTTCGGTATGCGTTTTTCACCTTCAAATTGTAGGGTGCTACCACAAGATTGGGTTGGTCCAACCTCACCATGACTGGAGAAGTAGACAAATTTTGCTATCTCGACAGCTATATCTCACCTGGCGGACGTGTCACAGATGTAGTGTCGGTTGGCATTTGACAGCTTAAGACATCTGAGGTGCAGTCACGACATCCGGCTGTCCGTGAAGGGATGTGTGTATGCAGTTCGGCTATTGCTGCTATAGGATGCAGAAAACTGGCCATTACGGGAACAGGACAAAAATATGTTGTCGGTGTTTGATCACCGCTGTCAACGCCTCATTGCAGGAATCTAGAGGGGAAACCGAGCAAGCAGTGCTGAGATTTTTAGATAATCTCGGTCATCCACTGAAATAATTTTTCGACCTTCATGGACTACGCTGTTTAGGACAAATGTTGGGCATGCCATCAATTGGGTGTCAGGGCGAGCGATGCTTGCTGAGACAAGAAGCGGTTGAGAAAAAGTCATGGGTGGTCAAGCTAAGACCTAGCAGGAGGATATAAAAACCCTAATCAGGACACTGTGTCCCATAGGGTACTTCTTGGATGGGGACCCCGAGATCATGGTAAATGGTGGTTAGAGATAATGAGCGATATAGCTGAGTGTTGCAAACAGAGGCGCTTGTGCATCTACTCATCATCCTTGCAATCCCAGTCGTTGTGAATTATCTATCTTCACTTAGACTCGGCTCTCAATCTTCCAATATTTATTCCATTCTTTTACCGAAATAGGTAACCGAAACCGGTGCATGAAAATTCATGGGCAATGGTTGTAAAGAGTGAACCTGAAACTTACTACTTGGGTTTCACCTTAGGAACAAATTTGCTCATCGTCGCACAAGCCCACAATGTATGCAAGAACGCTTAAGGTGCTTAGGGAGAGAGTCCTTTTTGAGGTAATCTGGTCTATGTATGACGCTGTCTTGCTATGCCTGCACACCTGTTCAGGCGTTCTGGTCTGATAAACCGACAGCACAAGCACCACTGTTGTCACTCCGCTTTCATGTCTTTCAGTGTCTCCGAACAATCCGCTACACGGTCCTTCGGTCAACAACCCGGAAGGCGAGAGACCTCCACTTTACTCAATCGCCTTTTACAGTTCTTCCTACCTCTTCTGTTGATCCTCCGGTGATTTCCTCACACCTGGAGCAGTAACGAGACTCGGCTGGGTGGATGCATTTTACTTCCTTTTATTGAATATACAAAGATGCTATTTTCAGTAGGGGGAAGCAGCCAGTAAAAGGGCTACTTTACAACACAGACTGGGGAAGTTAGGCTGCGGTTATGGGATTCGATCACGCGTCTTCCTGGGTGATAATTTGTTGACGTTAACATCGGATCACCACCACCCGCTAGGTATTTGACCACATGTCCTAACCGGGGAATCTTACTCATCTGAATTCGGTGGGACAACATATCTTCCTCCAAAATCCTTGCATATATAAAACGGTTCACCTTTTTTTGCTAACTCATGCGGTGCATCTCATCTGCAGTAGTGCATGTAGACGTCGGCGTTCGGAAACCAAGGTCGTTTGCATATTTTGAGAGGCACTGGTTTTTGCGCCGATTCTTTAGCAATATTAAATGTATCTCTAAGGTCCTGGATATATTGGTGATGTGCTCGGTTATGAAGTCACCATCAGTGTTTGCACGCGATTCTAGGATATGATATTGATTTCACTGATACCTCTTCCATTAAGTACCTGTTTTGGATCAATCGCCAACTCAACATTTTCAATTACACAAGAAAAATATTCAACGTTGTTTTATCCGGTCTAACGATGACCATATCAAAGTGTGCGCTCCATTGCCCTGGGGCAGACTTTGGCTAGCCGATGTTTCCGGTTGTGAATTTCTCAAGAAAAGTTATCCGTCTAGGCTAGGCCAACCTAGCAATGTAACGAACACCAGCAAATCATGGCACTTTTTCTTTTCACTAGGATTATTCTACCTTGACTTGCTCGGCACACACACACATATATATATATATATGTGTGTGTGTGTGGAAATGGTTAGGTGATGAGCTAAGAAAAAACGGCTTGTTTCGCCCACCAGACTATGGTTGCATTGTTGCAGTGAATATTTTCCATCCAATTTATCTTGCTGTACGTTTATGGTGATTGTTTGGTGGTCGCTTACAGAGAACAAACAATAAGGGACGACAGCTCCAATGTTCTATTATATTCAAGTAAAATGTATACTTAGAAATGATAGAATCATCCATCACTATGAAGTCGATTATATCGCAGTCAAAGATGGGATCAAGTAAATAGTGCAAATCAAAGTCACGGTTACGAATACAATGAATGCAAAAGCCACCATCACTATTATTCATGTGTCTGTCCACGCGCACATTAACAAAAACAAATTGTCTGAATGTAGAAAAAGGCAAATCAGAATACAATACAATTCTTTCTAGCACGCATCAGTCAACGCAACGAGAAAGGTATTCAGCAGATTGGAGGGAGTTAGCAGCAGTTGAATAGGTTAAATGTCCTCGGGCAAGCGTAATTGGGATCTAGATTGCCGATTTGTGTTTCTGTATGAGTGCCTCCACATCAGCCACATCCTCTCGACTGCCCATAATAATTGGTGCACGTTCGTGAATGTGATGGGGTTGAATATCCAGAACGGGTATGAAACCGGTGGACGCGGCTCCGCCGGCTTGCTCCATGATGAATGCCATCGGATAGCACTCGTACAGTAGACGAAGCTATGAAAAGACCGAAAAGCAATTACCATAGGTGTTTGCATTGTTCACAAAGGCTCTAATAAACGTTCGATATTTTGTTCAAGCTGAATCATTGACCTGGGCGTATTATGTGACAATACGATTCCACAACAGATTATTTACTTACCTGAAACGTGAGACGTTGCTGTTTCTTTTATTTCCGTTAACGAAAAGGACAAGCTTTTGGACATGGGGCGTTCTATACCAGCGGCAAAAGCTTGGCGCTAATAGACAGCAGTAAATCGATAGACTAAACCCAGACGCATGAACAGTAATACGTACAAAAAACCCGACCGATCGATAGGTGGACGAAAAACCAACAATGACACGACGGACTAACGCGAAATCGTCTGAGAGACTCAGCAAGTTATGTTAATTTCCAGATTGGAATGTTACCAAAACGAGGGTGTTGACAGTTGGTACGAGAACCATCAAAATGTTTTTGTCAGACTGATGGAGATTGTTACTGCATAAACTGAAAACAGAACCGTTTGCTTCTGAAAAGTTTTACATTCATCTTATGTGTATCAAACAAAACCGCAACGGAGCGATCATTTACGAAAACCGGGATAATCGCAGGTACCAAATGCCTGGACATCAGCGACAATATACATGTTTCGTGCTTCATTTGTCCCCTTCAACCAACACTCTTGTCTGAGTGAGTTGCATCGATAACAGTACTGGCAAGCAAGTCTAAGGTAGTGAAACACAAAGATGTTGCCTATTCGACTGGAGTTGATGGAATACCGTTCACATTGTACCTTCCAGTTTTAGGAACAAAGTCGTCCTTCTTCTGCTGCTCATAATTTTCCCTTCATCACATATTCAGGCGAGTCATCAGAAGACAACTACCGGAGCACGCCGATGTTGGGGGGGGGGAGATTAGAATCATAAGGAACTTTTAGATTTTCCATGAAAACGGTCCATTGAAATAGCATTGCGATGA